CCAACCATTGTTTCTCGTCCTTCCCTCTGGTGCTTTGGTGAACAACCTGACCCCCTCTTCTTTCTGGCAGCCCCTCAGATACTGGAACACTGTTATCATGTCTCCCCTATTTCTTCTTTTCTTTAGACTAGCCAAACCTATGTCCCGCAGCCATTCTTCGTACGTTTTAGTCTCCAGGCCTTGGATCATCTTAGTTGCTGTTCTCTGAATTTTTTTCCAAACTCTCAACATCTAGATGGGGTTGTCTTGAAAAGTATCCAGACATTTTAGTCGGTTCAAAACGTGGCAGATTTCATGGTCCTATGCAAGCCTAGATTTCCATCGGTGCCATCCATTTTGTGGGAGCTGCATTGGTTGATGATTTGCTTGCCAGGTCCAGTTCAGGGAGCTGGTTGGCAGCTTCAAAGCCCCACATGGTCTGGGACAAGTTTAATAATAATAATAATAATAATAATAATAATAATAATAATAATAATAATAATAATAATGATGATGATGATGGTAGTAGTAGTAGTAGTAGTAGTGGTAATAGTAGTAGTAGTAGTAGTAGTAGTACAATCCTGCTTACAATCTTTTTGGACTGTTGCCTTCTGGCAGAAGATACAGAATAATTAAAACTCGGACCACACGTTTTCTGAATAGTTTTTATCCCAGAGCTGTAATTGCACTCAACAACGAACTAAAGGGCCACCATCAGTGAACTGTTGGACAGCATTACTTGGTCTGTTGTGTGGATGTTGGGTGGTTTAGGGGTGGGGATTGTGGTGGTGGGGAGTGGGGATTATGTGTATGGGACTTGGTTTTTGGGTGTCAAGTAAATTTCGTTGTATATGTATACTATGTACGCACATACAATGACAATATATAATAAAGAAAGAAATAGTAGTAGTAAAGTTGGAAGGGATCTTGGACGTCATCTATGTTTTAGCCTCCAGTCCCCTAATCATCTTTGTTGCTCTTCTCTGTACTCTTTCTAGAGTCTCAACATCTTTTTTACATCGTGGTGACCAAAACTGGATGCAGGATTCCAAGTGTGGCCTTACCAAGGCATTGTAAAGTGGTATTAATACTTCACGTGATCTTGATTCTATCCCTCCATCAATGCAGCCTAGCACTGTGTTGGCCTTTTTGGCAGCTGCAGCACACTGCTGCCTCATATTTAAGTGATTGTCCACTAGGACTCCGAGGTCCCTCTCAC